TCGTCAGTCTCTGTTTCCATTTTTCAAGATAGCTTTGTATTGCAACCTCTTAAATGCTTTTTCCTCGCTGTGCTGGCCACGATGTTGTCAAACTGCAGAGTCAGAAAGGTATTTTGCAGTAAACAGTCCCCTGTGGAATCTGCAGATGACAATCGAGGCTCAACATCCACAAAGCCAAATGAATTGTCAGCATCGAGGAAAAAAAGTGTGGCAATGGCCAGGCGTCGGTTAATGATTAGACAGACTCTCTTTTACATTTTCTTTTTTTGTAGTTGTTGGTGTCCTTACGTACGGAAACAGAGATTTTTCAAGATATCTGTTCGTCAAAACTTTGGAGGACCACACGGAAAGTTTTGCGGAGGTAAGAAAATAAACGGATAGAAAAAGAAAGATCATAGTTTTTAGTTGGGATGACCCAGCTCAAACTTTACTATTTTCCTTATCTTTATAGAAAAATACTATGCATACACAGAGCTTTTCAGTACAAGGTGGTCATAAGCTTGAGTCCAGTTCAATCACTTTTAAAGGCAATTAAAATTTTCTTCTGAGATATATGATTTTTGTTTATTTTATACAATTCATGCATCAACTAGGAACTCTCACAGCCATCACTTACCAGCAAGCTGTCTGTTACAGTTGGATAAAATGCTGCACTGCTTTTGCTTGTTTTTGACTTTAAAATTGGGACTTAACTAAGGATGGTCTCTAACGATTTTCTTGGCAGGAATAAGAGATACCTTGATCAGTTTAGAAGAAAATAATATGCATAGTAATAATTATACTTTGATACAGTTTTGAAGTGTGCTCCCTTCCTATGAGATGAAAACTAACAAAGATCCCCAGTATCATTGCATGTAGGTTAAGTAATTATTACTCAGGGAAAAATGATTTCTATTATTTTGAGTTGGAAAACTCCCGTGTACTATTTTTCTCTACTTATTTTTGTAGGTGAAAGATGAAACTTCATTCTGGAACTGGATAAATGAGTCGCTGATCACATATCTTTACTCGATAAATCAAGAAAGCAGTGAGCTGGCATCTACAGTGATCGGAATGGTCAGAATGCGCCAGCTGAGAGTGAAAAAAGGTACACCTAATACGCTTTTCTCATTATTATTGCATGAATATAGTTTAACTCCTAACACTCATTTTCTACTTAGTTCAATGCCTTTCGGACGAAGTCACACAATGGTGGCAACAGCCTTGCTCAGAGTCCTACTCTCGCAAAAATGAATACAGAGAGCCTCTTCGTCCTAAGAAAGGAACCTCGCCACTCCGGTTCAATCAGAGTCCAATTCCATGGCTGTATAAAACAGCAAGCGAACTCGACTCTTCTTCAAAATGGGGCCGCCATGCTTGGTATGGTGGCGGTGGGTATTTGGCTGAGCTGGGCTACGAAGAAGAAACTGCCCGTGCGATAACAAATCTTTTGCAATCAGGACCTTGAGTCAATCGTCAAACAAGTGCCATCGTGTTGGAGTTTTTGCTTTTAAATCCAGGGACAAACATTTTGGCTGTCTCGTCTTTTTTTGTAGAATTTCTCCAAACTGGTCAGGCAACGGTTAAAAGAAGCATTGATACCATCTCGCTGTACACCACAGAATCCTTCCTACATATTTTTCAAGGCATATGCTTTGTGTTTTTTATAGCCATGGTTATTTTCAAAATCGGCGAAACAATAGCACATGTAGTTAAAGGGCGGTGCCGATACTTTTGCTCTTTTCGGTGTTTGCTTGATTTTGGCCATTTAGCGACATCCATTTTACTACTTGTATCGAGTTTTATGAAGTCTTACCTCACAAAGATGAGTGTGCTTAGGCTGGATGAAAACACATTTGCTCATGTAAACTTTGAAACGCCCCTCTTATGGGCAGAAGTTGAAAACAGTCTTCTCGCCTTTCTCACTTTCTTAACAACCTTTAAGCGACTACAACTTACCTATTTTAATTTCTACACGCGGTTGTTCTCTAATGCTTTAAGGATCTGGATGCACGACCTTCTCTCGTTCTGTATGGTCTTATCGATCATATTTCTTGCTTTTCTGCACACGGGAATTTTAGTTTTCGGTCCGTCCATCGGCAGGTACGCGAGCTTTTGGCGGGCCTTTGCTTTCCAGCTGGAGATAACTCTTGGCAAAGTGAAGGCTCGACCTATAAAGGAACTGGCTGAAGGCATCCCAATTTTTGGACACCTTTTTGCGGTTTCACTTCTTTTTAGCATTACCATAGTTTTAATGAACTTTTTTGTCTCCACATTAAATGATTCCCTCGCCGAAGCTAAGACTGTGGAAATAGATAAGGAAACTGAACAGGCGGTAACTGCTGGGCAGCCTGTGAACACAATTGTTGACAAGACTAACGGAGTTAACGTTTCATCAGAGAATAAGGAAAACGAGAGGAAAGGAGAGAAAATGCGTGAAGGAGAGACAACCGAAAGAGGGAATCGCGCGATATTCTTTGATAAAATCAGCAAGTGCCTCAAGACAAAGGCTTTCTTCGATGAAATCAGTGAGCAGCTCAAGACCATTGATACCCTTCAGCTGCCCATCCTGCGTTTAAAGGTAGATAAGGTTTCCAGACGTATCGACGATGCCATTTCTAATGACGTGGATATTAGAGAGCCATCGACAGTCAATCAAAAGGGGAAAAGGAGAATCCAGTTTGGAAACAGCGTTACAATACCGTTTACAGAGCATCGTTATCCCTTTCCACAACAGGAGAAAGTATAAGAAAACAAATTTGAGATAGTGCGATATCGTTCGTTCTTTATTCAGATAAAAGCATAATGCTAGGATCTTGATTTGATTAAGAAAAACCACTGTTCTTGCGATGGATTGTGTCACTTTTGTGTTCATGTCACTTGGTGCGTGAACTTTGTCAAGTGCGTTAACATAGTTGAGATGAAGTTCTGCATACATGTTACGTGGCACTAATCTGATATCGGTTGTAAAGAGTGTAATTGCATGGCTTTGATATTTCATTGACTGGTAACTACTTCAGATCTAGAGGGACAATCAGGCAGTAAATACGCGGGAAATTACTGAATACAACACTTGGATAATACAATCAAAGTAGGAAAAAATTAAGGTATGGGGATTTTCATCTTCAGTTTTTTTAATTTATCCTGAGGCAGACTCTTCTTTGATACTGAGGAACATCATCTAGCCGGGAAGAAAAGATCGCCTAATCTGAGTGAGCTAAAATCGAAGAAAGCAATCCCATGGCTCATTTCTGTATTACATTTCTTTGATGTCTTAATCTTTATGTCGAGTGATGGTTGCGTTACCATGTCATTACATCACAGTAAGATCATAACTCACTTGTTACTCGGTCAGAGAAAATTTGGGTAAGTTTCAAAACTGACCATTCTATGATGGATCAATTACAAACTATAGCTGAAGTGAAAAAAACAAACAAACAAACAAAAACACTAAGAATAAGCATCTACGGAGAAATGAAAAATTAATGGATTACTTTCCAATAAGCGTGGCTTCGTATGGGTGTAACTTCCGTAGCGGAGTGGAAGTTGCTGACTGGGGCATAATTTTGTCAAGTTAATCTCAGTAACTCAAAATATGTGTGATAGGCTGATCCACAAAATTAAAGCTGTAAATTTGTTTCTGTGTTATCTTGCATCAGCGAAGAGAAGAATTTTGATTTTCAATCAGCTTTTGGCATTTTTTTGTTTTTGTTTGGTGGAGATGGAGTGCAACTTTGCCTTGTCACCACCAATCACCAAATTAAAGAAAGGCGGGCTGAGAAGTCTTGATTAGTGATATATTTAAGGCCAATCTGCCGTTTGTATATTAGTTATCTAATGTTTAAGCCTAATAAATTGTTATAAATCAGTTTGGTAAGATTTTTTTGAACCTGGTCAGAAGGAAATCAAGGAAGTCGAGTGCGATTTGCTGCATATCTTCAGTCGTTGCTTGAAGTTTAGGAGAAAGTGCCGCTACAGGTCTAGACATGTTCTGAGTAAAAAATTCCTTGACTGATCATTTGACAGTAAGAAACTATTGGGCAACAATATACTGCTGGTAAATCAGGGTTACAGAGAGATAAATAAATTACGCACAGTGAAGAGTGCACCATTTTTTAAGGTTTTATTCTAGATTTTAATTACATAATAATTGCTATTTTTTTCTCTACTCAGATTTGTGATAAGTAAAAGTAGAAAAGGACGATTTTTCGTCTTGTCACGAGCAAGTTTCATTGAAAACATTCAGAGTCCTCATGTAAAATAGAAGCTAGACTTTCTGTTGCCACAAACGGTGACTAACCTTGAAAATCAAAATTTTGAATCAAACTCTTGCACGGAGGCGTCGATCAAACCAGCCCTATATATTGTACACAGCGTTTAATGCAACATTAAGTTCAAAATGGAGAAAAAGCTGAAAGACAAACAGGAGCGTTAACTTGGTGACCGCGCATGCTCGAAAACTTAGATATCCCGTCGGCCGAGCGTCGAGAAGCTGTAACACCTTCGGTTTCCGCGCTTTGATGCTGTACCTTTAAGCCATAGAGAGTTACGGTGAGTAAGGCCATTACACGGCTCTTTGTGACACGCATCTTGAATACTGCAAGGCAGTAGGGCTTGTACCTTTGGCAGAAACTGTTGGCCATTTTGAAAATGTATCGACACTTCTCCACTGATGATAGTAACTCACACTTCCCTTACCTGCCCTATCCGGGCCCGAGTCTAATAGGGCTAAACGCAGTAACGAATGAAGTAGAATAGTTTGTTTTACAATGTAGTCAACTTTTGACGTGGATCTCGACGATTCAGCTGCATCCTAACAGTCGTCTTCACTTAAGCGTGTGCAGTTGACTTCATTGCCTGAAGAGGACTATTTGAAAGGTCGACTTTTTTCTTGTAGATTAAATATTTATATTAAATATTTACTTTACTTTAATATTTATATTAAATCAAAATATCGAGTACTATCATTGCAAGATAATAAATGAACAAATATATCAAATGAAAATGACTGAACGTATCGATGAAGTAACAAACCAAATTTTATTTCAACTTTGCTGAAAGTAAACTATAGTTGAGCTCTTTTACCATAAGAAATAAAACGAAAAACGACTGGGAGTTTCTAACATTCCATTCCAGAGTTGAACAATTTTTAAGACAAGATTCTGAAATCCATATGGTTAGTAAAACGACTAAATGAAGAATGATCAACTAATACTTTGATTAAAGGTTTCAATAAGCACAATAAGGAGATCAGAACAAAACTAGATTGTTGTGAATCTCAGTCGCCATGCTGAATGGCAATGCATAAATTTGCCCTTGGTTATTTAACTGAGAATGATTTTATTGGAAATTACTTTCCAAGTGTATTGATCAAATAGGAAACTGTTCAGTGAAGGGAAGAAAATTTTGTTTTGACAGAAAGATATATAAAAGAGCAAAGTTGTGTTAGACGAAGAACTGATTAAGGAGAAAAATCAGTTGAGGATAGAGAATTAGTACAAAGGGTTGTCTAGAGCCGGTTAGTTAGAGAGGCAATTAATTAGGGGATATGAGCAATGCCTTTCAGTAATTAGTAATAGGTATGTTATTAAGTTAATCTCAGTTAGTCACTCCACTGTAATGGTTATTTTTAAGTCAAATTGATTGTGCAACCACTGCGGTAGGTGAGAAAATTAATATATTATATATATGGGGATTGAGGACGAGAGAATTAACTTGGATCGTTATGTTACACTCAAAGATATCGGTGGGTGTTTTTATTACAAATTAGTAAGTCGAGTGGTTAAATAGTTAGTTGATCAGTACGTTAGTTTTTTAGTTAGTTAGTTGGTTTGGTAATCATTTTTTTAGCTAATCAGTTAGTTATTTTGTTAGTCAGTTCGGTAATTAATTGGTTACGTAATAAATTAGTTAGTCAGTTATCCTATTAATTAGTTGGTTAGTTGGCTAGATAGTAAGGCAGTAAATTTGAAAGTTAGTTAATGCCAAGCTTAGTTGGTGATTTCATTAATTGGTACAATATTAGTAAGAGAGTAATTGATAAAGGAACTGAGGACACGTACAGAACAAAACATATCTGTTAGACATCGTATAAGTTATTAGTATGTTACAGAAAGATAAACTGCTGATCGTGGGGAGCCAGTGTGTTGGTTAGTTTGAGAGTTAGTAAACCTATTAGCTATATTGAGAATAGTAGAGAGGAGTTCAGAGAAAGATGTTGGCATGTTTCATTATTAGTTGTCACTATATTAGTATGTATTAGTATATATTAGTATATATTAGTATGTTACCCTTGCAATTAGTTAATTGGTTAGTTAGTATGTTAGTCAATTAGTATGTGAGTTGGTAAGTAATCGGTTAATTAGAAAGTTAGTTTATTAGTCCAATTAAAACAGTGGTTAGTTAATGCTTGTCATCATTACATTGTATTTTGGGGATCTATTACTTAATGAATGAATTTGTTTTCATTATTGCGTTTGGGACATGTGAATTAGTACTTAGTCGAAGAGAGTGCTGTGAATTAGTTGCATCCAGAGAATATTCTCTTGGTTGCGTGCAAGGGTTGTACATAATGGAAGGAGAGACGGAATTGGGTTTTTTTAAACATTAGCTGATTTGACACAACATTCTACCGTGCAAACTACAAATAGTTAATGCTAACTTTTACATATGCGTGTGAATAATGCTGGGATTTTTGTTAAGAATCAATAATTAATGTCAGAGAAATGATCTAAGCGCCCGTTACAAATGTTACAAATTTCTTGTGCAAAAACCAGAATTCTAATCAGGATCATAACGTCCTAAGCAGTGGGTCATTACTGAAAGTGGGTGCTTAAGAAGTTATCCTGCGTAAGTAGACAGCTTTCTAATGAAGTGTTCGTTCCATTACTGCTGAGAATACGGCGATTACTGAGTCATATCCACGGACTTCCCGGATGTCTGTTACGTCTGTACGTCATGATGTGATCGCTCAATCCTAAAGCTGTCTCAGTTAGCAGACATTTCAGGGTATCTTACGAGGATCTTGATTTTAGTCATCGCGTGGAATTGCTGGAATGATGAAGTGTAGTAAAGGTGGATCGTTGACAAATCATGTCTCCAAAATTTGCGGTCTTCTCTGATTCAGTGTTCTTCGAACATCTGAAGGCTTAGTCCTAATTAGGCAAAGAAAGGCTTCGGTGTAATTACTCCCTTGATGTTGCGCTAAGCTGAAATGTGAGGTATAAATAACACGTGGAAATACATGCCACTTGATTTATGAAGAAACAGCACCTCATGCCGGCGTCAGCTAAAAGTCACAGCGTGAGGTCTGATTCAAGTTCAGAATTAGAGCAGTTTTTTAATTACGTGCCAAAACTTCTGAAGCGAAAGTAATCACAACAGCCAATCAGAGTAAAAGTTAACATCATTATCAGCCAATGAGAACTTAAAGTAAAAAGAAGCGAAGTTCTACAAGCGTAGGAAAATGTAAATGGTCAAGTCTTGATTGGTTCAGTTATTTTTGCATCTCTAGATCAATCACTAAGGGACGCAAAGCAAACAGAGAGCGATTCCGGCTCACTTCCGACTCTCAATCTTAAGTTGCTGTTAAATGTTTCATATTTTGAGAGATTCTTATTACCTTAAAGTCATCGAAGCTCTTTGATGTAATATCAGAGCTTTTCCATTTGAAAAGCAATTTCGATCTGGTTTTCTGAGTGAAAACAAGATAATGACGAATGGCGTGGAGGTACATTTTGATCATGAAGACGACTTCAACAAAGAAGGTATCTCTTGAACGAGAATTCGCAGAGGAAACGCCTGGGGAAACAATTGTGTCTAGGCCAATTGATTTTCTACTCGATATCTTTGCGTCCAGTATTCTTTATCTTTCCTTAAATACGCACGATGATAATCCTTAAGCATTTCATCCCGGCTTTAAAGAATAGCTTACAGTTCGACAACTAAGAAGCCTTATAGACAACGCAATTTGTTTGATAAATTCTGAACAGTTCTAATTACAGTCCATCAAGCTGTGCGCAAGGATTTGTGGGCAGTAATCAAAACTTTTGGTTGTCAGTTGATAATAGCCCTCAAGGTTATTTTGAAAGCAAAACTTCAAACTTTTTGTTCACGAAAAAAAATTGCTAATTTGACATGGACAGTAATTTCCTCTTTGAAAAGGATCTCTGTTTCAGAAACTGTAGTTCTTTCACGGCTCAAGACACTACAATGTGCTCAGAGCGTATTTCAATGAATGATGATTGATAATGCATTTTTGTTAACTTTCTCACCACACACGCCGAGTAGGGCACTTCTCGCAACGGGACCTTTTCAATGAGAATCATGCTATTAATCTAAGAAAATATACTTGGATGCTCAGAAAGCTTGGGAAATATTTCACAGAGTATAGAGGTTCAGGGACATCAGAGAGAACACAGCACTTTTACCACCATTTCGTTCGACAGATAGCCTTGTGTAAGAGCAGGTTTAATTCATTATAAAGACAAACAACAGCAGACAAATCAAACAGGGATTTCATGTTGTGAATAGTTTCCCTTGCACTTACAAAAGTTCGCGTGTGGTGTGTGTATAACTTAAGCAGGTCGCTTTGGAACCCAGTCATCCGTTATTTGAAAACAACTCGCCAAAATTTTCAAAATATCACTAAAAGGCTCCAAATCATACTCTATTGAATAGAAATATGTCAGGCAACCTTGAGATCGTCCTTTGTACAAGTTGAGCCGAATTTCTTTCACTTTTTATGATTTCGTGAGAGCATAAAAATTTTGCAGCCCGTGAAATGACAATGGTCTATTCTTCTCTAAACAGTGTGTTTGAGTGAAACTCATTGTCAAGTTGAATTGTAAATTATTTTCGGTTAATATCAAAGAATGTCATACAAAATTAAAAACTCCGACTGACAATCTCTTAGTAGGCTCCCGTTATTCATTCGAAAAATTCCAGTTGTTGTGATCTCAACTTTGCCATCAAAATTGCATATATTTTTCCTTCGTTTCTAGCTAACACTCGCCGCTTACCTTTATATATATTTCATCGATAATTTTGTCCTCTCATCGTCAAAGACAAAAGCTAATTTTTTGTATTTCAAAACTTGATTTTCTAAAGGTCGATTTGTCCAACTTTTGGTCGTTCGATTACTCCTCATAGATGTGTTTTAAACTTTTTAAAATTTCTCCAGTTTTTGGCGTCAGATTTCGGTAAATCTAGCGCTTTGATGAAAAAGGAAGAGATACGAAATCGCTCTATAAATCTTATCAGTTGAACCAGATTTCATCTGCATAAATATTTTAGCTGTTTCTCTCATAATAAAGATAAGTTTCTTGCTGAGATTTAATTTTTGCAAACCTCATCGACATATTCAATCACGGTGTCTGTAGCTACCGTCCTTAATTTTTCTTTAAAATAAAAAGAGAAGTTACTTTCAGGTTAGTTTCATTGGAATTTTCAAATTTACCATTCTGTGTGGCATAAGCTTCTTCTCAAACAAAGCTGTGCGTGCGAAGTTTGAATATGTAACAACACTGAATATAAATGGAAAGTGTGAAATCACGTTAACTATAAGCTTTCTTACCAGAGTTTGAAGTCAGAAGATTGTCATCTTCCTCTTGAGTGAAGTTATTATAATTAGTAAGTGCTAGTTGGCGCATTTGCCCGTATGGGCCAATACGTGAGATTACCAGTGTAAGAAAGCTTGCAACGAACGCGAATGTAGCATGTGTGGAAAGGACTGACTACACCTGTTGTATTCCGTATAAACAGGAGGAGGTGGTGTCCTGTTATTTCATTGGCTAACATTTGTCACGCCCTTCGATGCCTGCGATTGTTTCAAGTCAGCGGTAATCACATTTGATGGATTGTATGGCTATTTATTACAAACAGCAATAAAATATTGATAATTCTTCCAAAACATACTTGATCGAAAACTTTGCGCTGTCGTAGTGCGTATCTTTTCAGCCGCAAATTTTTGTCAGGAAGAGTCATTTTTGTAAACAGAAGGAACCATTTGATTAATTCGAGCGTTTAGATTAACGAGCTCAACTGAGAAGTTTTGTATTTTAGGAATATCAGAAGAAAAGATCTTATGATAGGAACATTTGATAAGGATACAATACGCCATAACATACAAGCAAATAAAGAATAAAATCGGGCTTTGGTACTAAACATCAGCAAATTACGACGAAATCGTCGTTGTATGCAGTTCAAATAAGTTTGTTTAACAAGAAATAATACTTTGACTCTTCATCTACGTTGTAAGTATGAGTGGAAGCAAAAATGGGAAAACACAGGCAGCACACATAGAGGATTAGGGCACGAAAATGAGGTAATTAGTTCGGAAAGTAAATTTGCTTTACCACTTTGTAAACAGCAACAAGCATCTGTTACAGGATCGGAATTGGTGAACACCTGCCGTTTTTGCATAAAATTAAAGAAATCTTTGTGAAAAGCAAGAATGCAAAATTGGTCGTGCTGGTTATTCAATGGTTTTCATTCAAATGTGTGTTCCGTTAGTATTTATAAATAAAACACAATGAACATAATGCCCTGTGTAAATAGTAACTTGTGAATGATTCTGTAGAGAGACATTCTGATTATTTACTAGCAGTAGAGTTGCAATTTCTGCAAGTCTAAGTTAGCGTGATGGGTTCTTTTGTGGTTAATTTGAAATTATTCCTATGCCATTGTGTTTACTCGAAGACATTCAAATGGAAGTGATGGCCATAAGACTTTTTCTGAAGCTCGTTCAAAATAATCTAATAATTTTTGAAGATAAAGCAATTTTTAGTCGAGTGTCAAAAATATCTCGGGGTTGCAAAAGTTTTGACGTGGTTAAAAGCTCGCATAAATTTTTTCGAAAAACATTCGCGATCTCGAGGGAAATTTTCTATTAATTTTACCTTCGATAACTCTGACCACATTTGTTGCGTGAGAAGTCGATCCAAAGAGCTCTAGCTGTCGTCCAAAACATTGAATTTATTTTGAAGCAGCTGTGAATTTACCTGTCTTCGTTTATTTAGAGTTACAGAAACATGTCAAGTATGTCACGTGACCCTTACAGTACATTATAGCCCAGATGAGCTACAGTTGTTGGTTTATATCGTAAAATAGGTTTTGGTTAGTCATCGTGAGACAAACGATTCCATTTCTCTTTCAAAAGTAGTTGGTTTCTTCATAAAATCATTTTCTTTTTTCATAACTGTTGCCTTCTCCACTGGACCTCTGTATTCTGATTGAATTATGACGACAATTTATTCTGTATGAATGAAAATACACTGATCGCCTTTTCCCCTTACTTCCGATAATTTTCCCTCGACTCTCTTTGAATCAAACTCCCGATCAAGTCTTTATTATATCAGGACCTAATAGGAGGTACAAAAGCCGTCGTGTATCTTTCTCCCGTGTGAAGTCTGGAGCGAGCCTCGACATCATACACGCGTTCGATTAAAATGCCTCATTGTCATGCCAGAGATGGCCGCTGCGTGAAGGGAACGTTCTGAGTAATTGCGACAAACTTCTACGAGCAGAATGCCGGCGATCGGTGTTATTTACCCTCCGCCGGAGGTGAGAAGTATCTTTCCTTATGTATGCAACGTTTTTGTGGTCATACAATAAGGCGTTGTCTATGTCGTATTTCACTCATAAGACGTCACGTTGTAGGAACACTATTTGTCTCGTTGCTTTTATTTTGACTTTGCTTCGTTTACCTAGGAAATATCAAAGTAAATGAAAGTTACGTTACTTTCGAAAAGTCCTGTTATGATCGTGTAAATGCTGCTTAAGTGAATTAACTTCCCCCGAACGAAGCGAAGCTCTTTCATAACTAGTCTGTTATAGGGGTATTTTATTCATAGTAGATAAATCATATACATGTAAACCTTAACTTGATGCTCAGATATTGTTGACAAGACTGCGAGCTTTGTTGCTAGAAACGGTGAGTAGCAATTCATAGTATGTCAATAGATCGACATTAGACGTAAGAATTTAAATTACTGTAATTGCATGTTTAGATCATACACGTCTGAATGATTGTAAAGATGCTGTGAATACGAGTGAGGTCTTGGTTGACACGCTAGTATTTGATTAGATGACCATAAATTATTTTCATAGGTGCAAGTTCGGAAAAAAAAATTACCTTAATAAAGAAACTTTTGATTTAGTGTCATGAGACCAAGGAAATCTCACTGGCCAGTAAGGAGAGAATCTCAAGGAGCCAATGAGAACTCAAATGAAAAACCCATATTCTGCACTGCTTTAAGAAAATGTGGTGATCAGGTGGCATTCAGCTTTAGGTTTGGATTGTTTCAGTGGGAAGGGTGGTGTAAGTTTATGTGAACAGTTAAAGAACAAAGAAAAAACTTTGCAATTCCAGATTACTTTTAACACTCAATGGGATTTTGCTCTAAAAACACAACAGCAGTTGCCTCAGTGTATAATGGAAATGCATCCCAAGAAACTGATATTTTAGCATATAGCACTGTCTGTTCAGTGACAGTGTTCAAGTAAAAGCATGATTATAAAATACAACTGGTAACCTAGATGTACATGCTCACTGGGGATTGTAGACAGTAGAATTATTCAGTGAGTAGACAAAAATCTCTTTTTAACAAATAGCTTATGTGTTGCCATGTATCTGTTCAATAATAGACCAAGGATGACTTTGAAATGTGATTGGAACAGCAAAAACTTTTTTCTTAGCCTAGTGGTTCTTGATGTTGTCTGTGATCTATTGCTGCACAGATACATAGAAAAATGGAATCCATTTGTTTAATATAATAAAGAAAAATACTTTGTCATTGGTCATCTATGCATCAGTCCTGTGATAAATCATAGATAAGAAGCAATAAAAATCAATGCATCCTTCTGCTTATTACAGCTGTGTATATGTTTAGTTAAATTTTTTATGTGCTGAGTTTTTTGTTTTTAGAAAGGGAGAACATCCCCCTGTTACTTTTCACTGTTCTTAAGTCACTTCATTTGTGATTACACTGCTTTGAGAAAAGGGAATTGTGTGAGTAGTTTTTGAATCTGCTAGATTGTCATTGTTATTTGTTTGTTGCAGGACCGGAATTTGAATCACGAATCAGACAGAATGAAATAAACAATCCTAAATTTAATTTCCTGAATCCTGGAGATCCCTACCATGCGTACTTCCAACAAAAAGTTACAGAGATTAAAGAGCAGGATGACAAAGGTGAGTAAAAAGAACATGATACAGATCAACTTGAATAATTTGAAAAGAAAAAGAGAATCACAAGAATCACCAGTATGTGATTAGTGATTTATGGACTTATCTTTGGTAGAGGGTTTGGACAGTGCTGTAAAGAGAGCTATAGCTTTCCACTGATGTGACTCAGGTCTGATGAGGGTTTGAATTTTGGACTCAAAGGGTCTCAAAGTGACTAAGTGTCTTTGTTGCCAAGGGTTTTTTTGTTTTTTGTTCCACGAGACCCGGCTCTCTCAACACTAAATTTTTACCTGGAATCACTGGGGGCAATTTTTTCCTTAAAAATTCCACAATTGTGAGACTTGATTGGCACAAGACATATGATAATATCAAAAATAAGTTAATCAAGTACAATACAATACAATACAAACTTTATTGACACTCCCTAAGAGGGCTTTTCAGTGACAATTAATAATTACAACATTTTTATTATTGTAATTATTCATTGTCACTGAAAAGCCCTCTTAGGGAGTGTCAATAAAGTTTGTATTGTATTGTATTGTATTGTACTTGATTAATTTATTTTTGATATTATCATATGTCTTGTGCCAATCTGTAGTTCAAACTAGATCAGAAGTACCTACCTGCAATCAAACTGGACATGGAATTTCATTTCAGAACTTTATTTTACATACATGTACATGCAGTTTTTGAAGCTATTAATAGTATAATCCACAAACTATATGATACCTAAAGAAATTCAATATATGATGTTTTCATCAGAACCAGAGGCCATCCCAGCTGCTCCTGCTCCACAGAAGGTAGAAACACAAGGATGTTTAATAACTACAATATTGACCCTTATTGACTCTTTCACTTCTAGGATCTGAGAGAAAATTCTCTAAATGGAGGCCAAACAATATAGATCTTTCAGAATTAATCTTGAGAATTGGTTGTTACAGCCTGATGTGATACCTGTTTGTAAGTTGACAGTACAGAATTAAAACTCAACACTCAATTCTCCAAAGTTTAGTCAACTAAATCTTTTCCAGCCTCCATGATGACCAAAAGTGTCACAGCTTGGAGTGCTTCAGATAGGCAGTGACATTGCTTTGCAAAACTCAAAATGGTGATGTTCATCGTCAATTTTTAAGCATTGTCAAGGATAAATGAATGGGTAGCTTCACACTTTGATCATTTGAACACTATTTCTCTTTGATTTTAGCCAAAGCCTCTGATGCAGATCCCAGTGACAATTTCAGAGCCACCTGTACCTAAAGAACCTCCCCCAGAATTTGAATTCATGGCTGATCCACCATCTATATCTGCATTAGATCTGTGAGTAAACTTAAAATTTGCATTTCACTAAATGCATGCCTTTCTCTTTAGAGTTGTGTACATTCACAATCAGTAACCTTAGGTGTATTTTACTATAAATTGTTGTTATTGTACTTGATTTTAATACAATCTGTTTACTGATAATCCACTGAAAACTGACTGGCATGTTACTGCTGTTCAGTTGGTACTGATACAATGTACATGTGCTTGTAGCCCTAGCTTTCTGA